CACACACACACACACACACACACACACACACACACACACACACACACACACACACACACACACACACACACACACACACACACACATATATATAGATTAGCTTGATTACACAAGCTGGATTCACTGGTCAGATATGCTAGAAACATATGCAAAAAGAAAAGCATGAACTGCAAATAAAAAGATTATCATTTGCTGATATGTACACAAATACAGTTACCGTTATATTTATAGCTATCGTCCTTCATATGAGTGACTCTTTAAATTTGTTGTTGTTTTTAAATACAGATTATCAGATTTATCAAATGCCTGAAAATCATCTTTTTTTGTTGATCAGGAGGAAGTCAGCTGGAGGTGAAGCTAGTTCTCCTCTGGAAGCATAACATGCGCATTGAATACCTTGCTATAGCATCTTGGCCCCTTGAGCCAACCAAACGCACAACATGGGTTGAGGTAACAATGGAGGGCAGCTATGACATACTTCACGACATCAGCTGCACCATGAGGAAACCTATCACCAGCCCCTACCGGACGTCTGTGATCCGCCGCTTCTGGAACACTCTGCAGAGGTCAGCTACAAACTTTCTTGAAGATTACCCATGCTTTGTTGTCTGTTTTAGTTGACAGCCATGAAGTAAAGCCATACCTTGGTTTTGTCCCCAACAGCATAAATCAGACCGATCAGATGTTGGTTCATCTGCAGTCCTTTAATTCCATATCAGAGCATTACACTATCCCTGAAAGCACGAAAAACGGTGTTCCTCTATTTTACATCCCACCTGGATCCACCACACCGGTGAGTGTTCACAAATGTTTTTCCTGAGGGAAGCTACAGATTTGTTTTTTTTAGCATGCATGCATTTCATTGATCAAAAGCAACAGCAGGGCTCGAAATGAACCTTTTTGCTTGGTAGCACCGGTGCTCCTAACTTGATTTTAAATGCAATAAATATGTTTGTATAAAACTTGTAGTAACGGTGCTTATAATTGGTGGGTGCGACTAAATTTTGGCTGATGCGCCTAAATTTGTTTGTTTGTTTGTTTGTTTGTTTGCTTTATTTATAGAGCACATTTAAAAACAACAGATGTTGACCAAAGTGCTTTACAAAACGACCAGCATACAAAATCTATACCTATATATAAAAAATTTGCAAAATATATAAAACAGATTAAAATTAATTACAATCAAAGGCAAGAGACAGAAGGTGATTTTTTAGATGAGACTTAAAAGCACCAAGTGAAGAACATGATCGGATCTGTAAAGGCAGACCATTCCACAGTCGGGGGACTGCAGCAGAAAAAGCCCTGTCACCTCTTGATTTCAACCGCGTTTTGGGGACAACTAGCTGAAATGTGTTTTCAGACCTGATTGGCCTCAATGAAGTGTGCCAGTGAAGAAGCTCAGAAATGTAAGTTGGTGCCAGACCATTCAAACTTTTAAAAACTAGAAGCAATAATTTATATTGAATTCTAAATTGGACTGGGAGCCAGTGAAGAGACAA